TTACCATGCTCTAATGTTACCCAGCTGCTGAGTTAGTGACGCTCCAAAGCTCCACATGCAGGCAAGCGAAACCACGAGTAAGTGGAGCGTGGGTGGCTAAAGACCTTTGACTTGTAGGACCTACTTGTATATATATGTATGTCATAAACATTCTACGTATGCTCATTATTAGACTAAGTAATGAGCACACAGCAGCAGCAATGGCTTTGTCAGGTCCCATAAGCAACTACATTTAGGCCTGATTCCCATTTCTCTGAGAAACTCCCAATCAAAATCAAATTTAGTAAATGAGGGGATGATTTGGGTGGCTATTTTCCTTCTCAGCCTTTACTGAGATACATTTCCTCAGGCTGATCTCGGAGCTGCTGTTCTTCAGAGGAGATACGAGGCAGTCTTGACTTCTTACTGTCATTAAATGCCACACAACAGTATTTGCAAGGGAAGGGGTGTCCTCACTCCTTGCTACAAAGCCAGTAATTATATTTTCTAAGTACAAATGGACCACGGATGAGATGATAAGCAGCTGTCCTGCCTTAGCACAAGATAGGTCAGTATTTTGGGAGCAATCTCCTCTGTGACGGCTCGATATACACCTTGCAGGGCTTGCTTGCCTGTTCACACTGGGGAGAATGCAGAGTCCTGTTCTAAAGTGTGAGACAAGGATCTCGAGTCCCACATAGCTGGAGGGAGAGAAGAAATGACAGTGGATGAGAGATGCTGAGACCCGAAACAAGGAGCTTTTAGGCAACAGTGGAGGGAAATACTCCGCTTAAACTTTGTTTTCTCCTCTGCTCTGCCAAACTTCTCCAACTAAATCATTCTTAATCTCTCAAATAATTTCAGAAAGCAACACAAATTGCCTACTTGGTCATATATTTTTCTATTTTTAATTGTATTTTATTAAATAAAAATTATTTCCCTCTACAGTTAAACAAACCAAAGTTTCCAGTTATTGTATGCTTTTGGTTTCTATCTCTTCTGTAAGTGCCTTATTTTCTCCAGTCATTTTCAAGATTTCAGGCTAGGATCACCACAGTCCCTTATATCGTATTATTTTCCTACCATGAAGTTGTTTATGTGTATTGTTTATCCAACAGACATTTCTCTTTCACTTGGTATATTCATTACTAAATAATTCTGTGAGAAGATACAGGCCACTGATTTTTTGCAATTTGCATCCCCATACTCTAAGCTATGTTGAAAACAAAGCTTTTTGGTCCTCTTGCTTTGGAAGTACATTAATATTTCTATGACCTTTACTAGATGGCAGATGAGAAGCATTAGGAATAAAATAACAAACAAACCAAAGGAAACCAATTTTTTAAAATGCGTATTTCTGAAAGAAGCAAGAGGGAAAGAAAATCTAGTCTAAAAAAATATGAACTTTAGCTAGAGTTATGATAATTGTTCTATTGTAGCTTATTTTTCCATGTCAAAATGTTTCTTTATGATCAATCCATTCAACATAATGCAAAAAGGTATTTGAAGGGGTTTAGTAGCTGTGCCCACATACAATATATAGATATTATTTAGAGATACTTAGAAATAAATAGAATAGTTGAAGACATGTTTATTTACCGTGTACATTGAAGTGATCATATTAAAAGCGTGGTCGCTGTGCTAACAACTACTTTACACAAAATGACTCCAAATCACTCAACTTCCAAAGCCTGCTGCTTATAAAGAGAAATTCTGTGAAACAAGCTGCAAATGTAGTGACTTTTTGTGTGGTGTAAACGCTCCGCTTTAGAAGAGTACACTTTCAGAAGCCTTTAGAAGATTGTAGAAGGAAAACCAACTAAATTCTACCCAGGAAACCATTTCTCTCACGGCAGCATTGTTTTTCAGTGGTTTTACTACACACCGGAAGCCAGCTCTGTTCCTGTTCATCTCAGTGTCGATGCCGTAACTCAAAGGAACAGATCCAATAGTGATTTTCAGCGACTTGAAATTTGACTGCTTTATGAACACCGCGTATAGATTAACAACACCTATGATTCAGCAAGGCGTTTAACAGACAGAAAGCAGAAGTTGTCCCATGGACTAAAGTGTTTGTTCACTGGTTTCCAACTGGAAACAAAACTGAAGATTCTTTAACAGAAACCATCTTTCATATACTTTATACCATATACTTTGTATCATATGCCACAGTACTAAGTGAAGGGGTATTCTGGGGGAGGGCGGGTGTTTGTTTCTCTTTAGGATAATGTGGAAGAGTCAAAAAATTTTAAAAATTTTTTTATTGAGCACTAACCAGCTCACCATACGATGAATCACATGAATCTAGAAGGGTTCCAATTAAATCAAGTGGTGCAATTTATAGGATTGGCATGATGACAAGAGTCCCCTTCTGTCTTTACTATCAAGAGCAATGCTATTGCAGCCAGTAGAAACAGGAATAGGCCTTATATTGAATGTCACATCCTTATTTTTTAATTATTACTTTTGTAAGTTTTTCTGTTTCAATATGTGAAAATTTTTCTTCCTTGAGGTTTCAAGGAATACTATATTATAGTTTTAGGATCAAAATATAGAAAAGTTAAAACCATAAGAACTTCTTATTGGGAAAAAAAGTTTGGAAACATGCTTTTGTTGTTTTAATTAGTTTATTTTAAGTGAAATGAGGATAGTTTGGATACAAGTATTTCCCTTCCGTTTGCTCTTTAAGCCCAAGAGCTTGCTGCTCTTTGTTCAAGTTTTCAGAGAAACTGAAAGTAACTAGAAACTAACTTTAAAACCACCTTTCCTCCCCATTGCTTATTTTTTTATAAATTTCCTCAGCTTGATCTAGCAGTATGGAGAAGTGTAAATCATCCTTACAAATTTTTTTACAATTTTGATTTATCTGGAAGATTGCTAACACACAGCTTTTACTCTTTAGATGTAGAGATTCTGGCTCCTACCCAATCTGTAAATTCAGAGAAAACTATGCTGAGTTATCCAGCTGAGAGCCTGCCCCATTTTAAACACAGCTCCCATCTCCTTAGATTATTGTGCTTTAATTGTGCCATGTGTAAAATGTTTTTATACATAAAGCATCCAATCTGAACTTACTCAAGCGATGGCATCTGTCTTCGCAGTCAATGTTCTCAGCCCACTGCTGGTTTAGAATGTAATCAGTTTTCATCTGCTAGTTTGAATGGAATTTAGGTTTCTGTTCAAGATATAGCCTGTGACACTGCATTGCGTTGCATAAAGACAGTTCCTACATTCTTACCCAAAGTTAGATCATCTCTCTGCACTGCAGAGTTGGGAGTCTGAAAGATTTAATTGGAATTCTTCTCAAGCATATAAAAACATAGCTTTTGTAACCAGTAACAAATTTGAAAATATTTTTGTACGGTACATAATAATTCAATGGGACATAATAAGCCAAATTTGCAAAAGAGACTGTATTTTCATGTAAAATATTCACTGACTTGTATATATATGCAGCTCCGAAACAGACAAACACAAAAGACAAAGGCAGCTTGCATCCTTCCTGTACCTGTACATAGGCTTTAATTTTGCACATGTACACTTAAGTTCTAATTTAATGCACACAGAGAAACCGATTAGATGAGAGCATCTCTTTTAAAAAATCAGGTATCAGTAACTTGTGCATGATGAAAATACAGAGAGCCAAAAGTGATATAGTTTCTGGTTTAAGTCAGACATTGCAAGAACTGGAATATTTCTGCTCCACTTTGGGATAAATGATCACCGTCTACAGTCTTATTAGGAGAAATGGCATACTTCAGTGTCAGTGCTTGTCTTAGCTGTCATCTCATATTCCCTAGAGGCTTGTATACCCTGTATGACAGATTTGCACAGCAGCGTCAGGGATTTGGATGCTCAATTCCCACTATTGTTGCTAAGGATCTAACCCCTTTGCTGAGGGATGTTAGTCCTTTCCGTGGATTTGCTGTCTTCTGGCTCTGTGGTTTATATTCCTTACCTTTCAGTATTTCCAATGAGTCTTTCCTCTGTTCTTGAAAAGGCCTTTCGCCATTGGTGCATTTTATAGTCCTTCACAGAAAGGCCTTCACTGGATATGGGAAAGCTATTTCTCATAAACGTGTTACACACATACGTACCTCAAAAGCCTACTGGAGAAAAGCGAGCAGGAGAGGTAATAAAGCAGCAAAATAGATGATTTGGGTAACACAACTCACCAGAGACCTCAGGACAGAAATTTCTGAGCAAGCTACCAGGTTGTCCAAATTAGAAAAAATTATTTGGACTATTTTGGCCCCTGTGGCACAGTAGAATTCCCTGAACTACAAATTTGCATTTGTTCTTCTCTGTCTCAGGGATGCAACTTCCTCGTGATGTCTGCACCAACAACAGAAAATAAAACAGTGTCGAGACAACAGCTTAAGTATTGGCCCTCCATCTTCCCTGTTTAACTGTTTTCAGTTTAAGCACAAGACAGTGGGTGCAAGCCACACAGTCTTAATTAGCCTCCAGACCTGAGAGCGTAACCTGGCTCCTTTTATTCACTACTACACACAGAGCCAGCACAGGCAAATGTTAAAACCTCACTCTGTGACATTTAACCATCTTTGCAAGGCACGCTTAGGACAGCTGGTGAGAAGGGCTGCTGCTCTGTAAAGATTTCTTACTTAATAATGCATTTACATATATGTATCTGTCTCTGTATGTGTGTGTATACATATACATATACATATAAAGTTTATGCCAATGGGTGGAACAGCTACAGAATAATTTTCTACCTTAGTTAACAAGGCAATATAGTACAGAGAGCAAGTTTCAAGCCTTTGACTTACGACTCCTCTTCTTTTTAATACGGTTTTAACTGTCAACTTTAGTAAGTCATAAATATGAGAATAATGTAATAAGGACTACCACAAACACCCACTTCTATGTTATTTTATTTTCATTTCATATTTAAAGCATCCATACATCTTCACACATTTCCTTCCTCCTCACTGTCAGACACTGAGGCTCTCAGTTATGCAGGTAAAAAGGATTGACACTTTCTAAACTGTAATAGTTTCTCATTCTCTCTTGTTGAAAGAATTCTAAGGACTAATTGGAGTCACCATTTAAGAAAAAAGTCCCTGGTGATTATACTGAGACGAGTTTCTGTGTTTTGCTATGTATCTGCAGTCACAAAAAGACAGAGAAAAAACGACTTTTAAAACATGTTCTCATATTGCTAAACACTCCCTCTTCTTCTCTCTCACTGCCTTCTTCATGAACAGTTATGCCCATTGGTCCCAGAGAATATTAATAATTTGCAATATTCCATAGCATTAAAATCAGCCTCCTTATAAACAACAGTGGCAAATCTTCCGAAGAGTTTTAAATCTTATTTTCTGGATGTATGTAATGTACTGAAAGACAGATACCTACAGCAGCTGTAAGAAAGGTATGTTCTGCCTCTTGCCTCTTTTCAACCTTTCTTGGACACACACAGTTGCTTCACAACTAACCTGCACACTGTGGAGAACTGCCAGGAGCAGTCATGACCTGCCTGCTTTAGATGCCCAGTCTTCGTGGTACAGAATACTCAGATGGGGATTAGAAAATATGCTGGAGACTGTCTGGGAGGGAACAATTTATGCTAGAGTTCTGATATGCTTCTAATCTTTTACAGGAAGAAGCACTATAAATAATCTTGTACCTACAAGCTAAGTTGATGTAGCCCCTCTGCTGCAAAACACCTGATCAAAACAGGGCTGACACAGAACTGACCAGACTCTTATGTTTACTCACTCTCCAAACAAAATACATTTTCTTCTGACCTAAAGATCCCTTTTGAAATCTCCAAAGCGACTTGCTGAAAATGTGCAATCCATCTCTCAAAAATCAAACTAAATCCAGCACTACCTTATATGAACTGTGGCAAGGCAAATACATTTCCATACAACTCATGGTGAAAATGGGTTTGTGTTTTCTGAGTAGCAATGGACAGTTAATTTAAGCACAAAATAAAACACAAAACCACACAGAAAACATTTCTTCCTATGCAAAAGCTAAACAATACTGCCAGAATTTAATTGCATTAAAGGACTTTGAAACTTAATTCACTATGGGATTATCTGGAAATAAAAATGCCATAAAAATACATCAATAAAGTTTGACATATGCAAATACTATTCATATTCAAAGATGTGGAAACCATATTTCTTCTGTTTTATATCCTGTACAATCCTGTTGATTTCAGAATGCTTAAAACAGGTATAAAATACTTTGCCCCACATACTGTGGAAGTTCCACGTGACAGAAATACAGTGCAGAAGTGGTTGCATGCTGCCTCGTCTATCTTGATGTTGCTGATACTTTTGACAGGAACATTTATTAGACCATGTTAGCAGTAGACAAGAGACTCCCTCTGATACCCATAATTGTCTTCAGGAGACTGACCATATATTGTAGACATGTCAAATAAAGCAGCTATAAAAACATCTACCACATGCAATCACTTACTGCTTTCTGAGAAATTATTACAGTCATGGCTTAAGAATGATCAAAGAGAGAAAAAAAGGGGTCATAAAACCAGTAAGAATGAGATCATGTCCTACATGAAAAGCATGTGGAGGTAAATTGGGGTAGTCTCACCCCAAATTCCAGGAATAACCTTTCTCTCTCACCTCTCCACTATCGTCTAGCTTGACTTGGGACCACTGAAATCAGAAGGACTTTTATAATTTATTTTACAAAGAGAAGGAATCAAATCTTAAGCATCTCTCTTTTATGGGCATCACTAACTAATTTTGGGGGGAGATTTCCAGCATCCCCAATAGTTTAACATAGCATTTTCACAGAGGGCTGTGATCCTCCATCTTAAGTCAGTGAACACTATCTTACTCCACAAGTAGCCCCAGAGAAAGTAAAACAGGACTTAGAATTTTGCAACCAGCGGTTCTATCCTGAGGGTAATGTTCCACTCAGCTCAGAAAAAGGGTGGTAAAATGTCGTCTGCAATGTCTGGGTATGATTATGCTTGCTATCTGTTTCCTACACACCCTTCTTCAAAAAAGTCAGGGGATTCCATCCTGGTTCTGGAAAGTCTCCATTAGCACGGAATGAGAACCCTGTTCTTGCTATCCACTAAAACCAAAGAAAATTCATCCACTATGAACTACGCTTACAGTAACACCTGTAGAAACTAAAAGGAAGCAACAGATGTGTCTTCCTTTCTTAGACCACAGTCACGCCTGTCTTTTTGCTCTTGAAATCTGGTATCTATCTGAAGTCTGTCAATGATCTTTGTTAAGATGCATTTGCCTTTTTATTCATCTGTGACATTTACAAGCAAGTTAGTCTTGCATCAGGCTGCTCCGAGTTCAGCTTTATTAGCCTACAGAGACTCGGGACTCTGTTGCCTCTTCTCATTCCCTGTCAACAGCAGGCTGTGACTACAGGTGACTGCCTGTTTTCTCAGTATAACCCCAAGAGAAAAAGAGCAAAGGTGAATGGATGGAGGACAGCAGAAATGGAAGTCAGTGCATTTTGCACAATGACGAAACACTTGACAAGGTGTATTCTTTAAAACCCAGGCAGCTCCCTAAAGCTCCTCAAGCTTTTTCTGGATACTTCACAGACAGTGCTGAAAAAGAACTGTGATGTGTTGTGAACAGAATCCTAAGGCCAATTAAACAGTTTAATGGAACATAAATTTCTAAGGAAAACATGGAAACTTGGGATAGTGTCACTGTGTCCTAGATCATTATGGACAAGAAGAAATCATAATCTGAAGCACAAAATCATAAAGGAAAGAGGGGAAACAAATAGTTATTAAGCTATTTGGAAGCTACATGGAGAAAGGCTAGGTTGGTCCTTCACCAATGTCAGAAGCTCTTTGAATTAACAAAAGGAAAAAGGTTTTTCAGCTGTTCTGAAGTGTCCAGCTCTTTTGAAACCAACAAGAGTTAGACACTTGAATAGTTTTACTGGCCCATAGTTTTAAGAAGCCTTGTATAGAAGAACACGAGCGAATCAAGACTACTAATTCACTTCTTGAAATAGCCACAACAGTGATGTGGGGTTAAGATGATTTCACAGTGACAGGGTCCTGGGCTGCATCAGGCATGAATTTGCCTTTCACTACCTTCTAAGTAAACCCACCCATTTTTAATAGCTATTTTTGTGTAGCAAATGCCCATTTCATAAGTCTGCCAAAACCAATTTGGAAACGCAACGCTATATAGTTTTCTTTTGGAAATTTTAACGTTGACATTCGTGGCCCTCTTTCAAAACATGCGAAGATCAATCAATTAAAAAAAAAAATCACTTAAACCATGACTTAGTGACCATAGCTAAAGAATTTCTCAGTATAGAAACAATCCACATTTAGAAATCATGATTTACCTCAGAGTTAAGGTACCTTCCCAAGACCTACCTTATGATATTCCTGAAAAATTCTAAAACCTAAAAAGGATTTCAGATTGGCATGACAATAATGTGGTGGGATCTAACCCCAACTGTTCTGTATTTTTTAAGCCAATGGAGTGTCATGCTTACCATTTAATTGTTCTTTAACTAAATAAATGCAATTAGGATTTTCCCTGTAATCTTTCTGAAGAAGCTGAGAAATATACCTCATACCTACCCATGCATTCGTGCAATTATTGATGGGATTGTTGATGGAAGATTAGAATTTGCTGGGTGAGTTGCTGACCAATGAACCTTGCTGGTGTATCCAGGGATATTTGGAGGGCTAAAGGAAAAAGTTAAAGAGGGGATGGAGGGTGGAGAAAGGGCAAATTAAATGACTGTAGGCTTGAAATATGACTTACAGATCAGTTCTGAAATAGCTAGTGTTTATCAAAGATGGATGGAGTTAAAACTCTTCATAATATAGTGAGTACTCCTTAGAATGTATGAACTGGCACAGTTTCTTTAAGATCAGCGAAACAACTTTATCATGATCTAGCTGATGATCTGACCCAAAATCTTTGGTTAGACATGGCAAAAGTGAGTTCTTTAGTGACTTTTCCTCTCCTTCCCCTAGTTGTTTAGGTTGAATATCTGTATGATATTCATGATTACAAGCAACATTTAATCTCAAAGAAAAAATGGAGTCACGGGGTTTGCATAGACCACAAAAAGCAAGGAAATATTCTTTAAAAAAGTGATGCAGATTTAGCTCATATTTAGGTTCCAGCTTCAAATACGGAATTTAGGTAGCAGGCTTTAAGCCAACAGGTGTGATTTCTCATGGCCTAAAACACAAATGATTTCTCAAATGATTCTAAAGTTCTCTGAATTTCCCCTAGAATTTATTAAGAATGTATTTACATGTATTTGCAATAGTATTAACACTGCTTAGACACGTCAACTTAAATTCTAGCTCAAGTACACCAGTGGACTGAGACAGTACGTACCACATCTTTGTTAATTCTGATGCTAAGTTTTATCATGAAATTCAAAAAGAAAGTTCCTTAAAGAGACAGTGGAAAGAACTACTTACCTGAGGTAGCACAACAGAAAATATTGGTAGCAATAGCTGCAAGATGAAGCAGGGATGAACAAAAATTTTTTTTAAAAAAAAGAAGGTATCAATATGAATTCAGAGAGACAATCCATGAAGATTAAAAATAAAACAATCTAAACCCTCAATATGACAGTTTTTTTTCGGCACAAAGTTATTCAGAGAGTATTGTCAGTACTAGTCTATATTGACAGCTCAAAACAGGACACTGATGAATTATACATATATCCAGACTGCTCATACACAAGGAGGTAAGAGCTCATGACAAGCTTTTCATCCACTGAATCAACTAAATACTTGGGATTGTAAACCTTGCCTCCCTTAGTCTTTTGTGGGCCTTTAGACAGCATGAATGATAACAGCGCCTCCTTTAAAATAATCTCTGACGTATTTTTTGGTTTCCCTCTACTCTGGGTAAAAATAAACAGTTCATTTAATTATAAAGTGCATAGAGCTATTAGTTTCAGCACAACTGATCAGCTACTTCTCTACAACTAAGTTCAGCACAGGATGCAAAACTGGACGTATGTGTGAGATGCGGCTTATCAGAAAATTCTTTGACTTGCGTACTAGGAAACTTGGCTCTGAAATTCCTCACCAGAGTAGCAGAGGTAACGACAACATGCTGTATCTACCTACCACAGTTATAATAAAGAAGTGTGGGTGAACTATACCTGAACTACCCCTGCCACAGGAGGTATTGGCGGTATATGTTGTAGTCTTTGTACCCATAGTTAGCAGAAAGACTGTCTAGTTTGTCTTATTTTGGAGTAGCCTTGCGCTAACCCATAGATTCATACACTGCTGTACTCTCTGGGCCATGCTCGAGTACATGACCATTCAGAGAAGATGGCTTTGTAGAATCAGTGCTGCAGTTTTGTAGCACTTGGGAAACAGTTGCCTATAGGGAATCGCCAAGTAGTTGGCTGAGCAAGTAACAAATCTGCTCTGTGTCTTGTCGGCAACCATGCAGGGGTAACAAGTAGACCTGAGAATATAGTACAGCAGTAGGACATATTTTTAGAATTGGCCAAAATGGTTTGCAGACAAATTTGCATTTTCATGTCAAAGTAGACAATCGTTAGGTTATGTGCAGATTAGGTAACTCTGTAGAAAATTTCATCTGCATATGCAGAGATCCCACTGAGGGACACAATGGACACTGTATGTGTCTAAGTATAAGCACATTCATCCATCCAAACCTGAAAATGTGGCATCGCTTGGAAGGAAGCAGTCAGATTGTGAACAGAGTTTTATTATCCTGGTGATGTGCTACAGACCAAGATACATCTCTCACATGTAATAAAGAAATTCCATTGATTTCCTTGAAACTGTATGAGCATCACAGAGAAGGACATCACAACAAGAAGCCTCATATTAACTTGCAACATTTTATAAGCCTATTTGCAGTTAGCTCACATAATAACTATACAACTATGGAGATATTAGAATCCATTATGCACTGTGAGGCATCTGATTAATAAAATCTTCTGACCTTTAAAACTTGCGAAACTAGAAGAAAATAGAAAAGCATCATAAATGGGCAAACGTGACACAAAAATCAAACTTGAGTGTTGACCCAAGACGAAGACTTGTTCTAGACTGTGTGTTAGAAAGGATTGACAGAAGTTGGTATATTCATAACATAGGGGAAGGATATAGCTCTGAAAGAGAAGAGTGATAGGCAGAGAGAAGCTAAAAGTACCAGGAGAGTAATAAAGCTTACAGTACAGTAAAGCAGCTGCTCTCCTGGGAACCTGCAAAGAAGATGCAAAAATGTGCTGTGGTTATGTATGTGATAAAGCAGAAGAAACTGAGGTTGAAAAAATACCCTTTTGTTTTTTTTTGTTTTTGGATAATGCTGTCTAGCTCTGTGTGTTTTCTTTGATGAGCTGCTAAACCAGGTTGTTGCTACTAAAGAAAACAACTATATGCCAGGCTACCACTGGGCAACATACAAAACTCCTCTGTGGTTATGCTGTCGTCATCAAGCTTTCTTTCTCTAACCATGACATCTCTCTTGTTCACACACTTCATGCTAGCAGCTGTTAGTCCCCAACACTAAGAAACATACAGTGTTGACAGTTGAATCTGAGCAAGCTCTAAGATTTTTCAAGTGGAATGTAGTGATTCTGAGTACCTCTGCTTTGGTGTGCCTGTGTTTCATATGTCCATCTCTGGATGTTTTTGAAGATTTTTACTTCCTGATAGTGTTCAGGAAAAACAGTGTAGACTTAATTCAGTTGGCCACCCATAGGGACATTTAGAGATATTTGAGATGCCTTAAGAATCTGAGATATCCCTGGATATCAAAGGACCTGCAGGAGATCCATACTGTTCTGATGCAGCAGCTGGAAGGTGTCTAGGGTGTCTTCAGGGCATTGGATGCTCAGGTTTGCCATGTAAATTCCATATCAGCTGGTTTTATGGGGGAAAAGTCAAGATTCCCTCAAAGAATATGCAATTCTTAAAACTTTGGATCTAGCACTTCAGCTTGAGTGACTGAGCCGGCCAAAGTCTTTGTGCAAAAATTCCACCGAGTGAAAGCAATCCGGTAGATTCTTACCTTGCACTTACAAGCAAAGAGTTCCTAATATCTCACTCTTTCTTAGAAACACTGTTGCATAAACCTCATAGAACTAAGTCACCAGATTAAGTCATTATCTATCTCTTCTGGTTCCCTCAATTATAAAACAGGCCTCTCAGGTCTCACTCACAGTATATAAGGCTCACAACTGGCTTCCACCTCTAATTCCCTTCCAGGAAGACTGATACGTCACGTGTTTGTGGTCCTTCTTTTACTCCATGATCCCACTTGACAAGCAGAATAACCTGTGGTAAAAATGCCTCAGTTGTGATCCCATGTCAGGAAACTCGATGCATAGTTGTTGGAAAGAAGTATAGCTGAGAGAACTTATGAAGTCAAAAAAAGGTGCTCCATGCAGAGTGAAGAATGGGACCGGCAGGATTTTTGAACACAGCATTCTGGGTTGCATTTCATACCCTTCTCCCTCAGCCATCAAAGCAGGATAGGGAATGGGTATTTACAAATGGATTTGAGGTTTCTAAAAGCGTAAGACCATCACAGTGGTAATTCCCCAGAAATATTTGTAATCATGTTGAACTGGAATGTTCTGTTTCTACCATTTCAAACAGTTTTATTCAGCTTCTAAATTTTTTGACCCCCCTTTTTAGTATGGGGTAATATTTTTCAGAAACAAGAAAGCATTTCAAGCCAGCAATGAAATCTCATTTGGAAAATGTCAAAGTAGGATATTTCAGCATCCCCCACCCTCAGCCTCCTGGATGACTCAAACTGGAAAATCACTAAAAAGGCGTACATGGTGGACAAGCTGTCAGTTTCTGAAGAAAAGATACATTGTGGGAAAGCTCTTAGGCAGCCCGTGAAAATGACTATGCAAGGCACAAGGCAGCAGAGGGTCCTGTCCCTAGCTAATTGTGGCCTGTGAGGTTTCTGTGGTAACTTGAAATGATAAGGGATGCAGACACACAGTCAGTTGGTAGCTGACTACACTGAAGAAATATGACTGAAGTCACTACAGATATACTGATGTGATAGTAGCATTTTGCCCAATGTGCTTGAGAAACCAAGAATAAAGCGTGGTTTCATAGAATAGCTTTGTGTAAGAACTGCAGGACTTGAAACACTTAGGACTTCGTCTTCCTAGAAACTGTATGTGTTAAGTTCCCATTTCAATCAACTGCTTCCAGAAATTGATTGTGGTCAGATCCTGTCCTCTCTCTGACACGGACAACTTCTATGGCCTTGGACAAGTCACTTCAGCCTCTTCAGTCTTCATCTTTCAAAAACTAACACTCTAATCTACTCTACCAGTGTTATGGCAATGAATTAGTAGATGCTTCAGAAGTGCTGCTAAGTAACTAACACTTTGTTGGAATGGATGTGGATTGTGTAAGCACTGCCCTCTACTGAGTATTATAAGAGCTGATGAATTACGAGTAGTAAGTTTTAAAACGTTAATGACTGATAGATTTTTAGTTAATTCTGGAGGCAGAGGCTTTTAATGTGGAACAAGAAAACATAATCTCTGCCCTAACTGCTTTTGTCAGATTTCAAGAGGTAGGTTCCAATAAGTACCACACTGAAAATCAGGAAGTTGCTGTGCTACAACACACAAGATACACAAAAGAGAAAAGCACGAGGCAGATGTAACACTGTCTTGATATGAACTGTTGCTGTGTAT